CCTTTTAGGAGGGAAGCGTAGAAACCAGCTTCAATCCAGGAGCCCACCACCTGCCCTGTCAGTCTCCTCCCAACCCAGTGCTGTTTTCTCTCCCCACGGAACCCCAGGCAGCATTGCCTGTCGTGAGCTCCTACTTCTCTGTGAAATGGGACTAGATACAACACATCTCACAGGATCAAGTTGTGGTGGACGGTGTGGACAAAGTTTGCCTGGAACACGGGAGCCCCGAAGACGTGTTACCTACCGTTACTCCTGCCCGATCTCTTCCTCACCATCGTGTTAATCTCTCTCTCTCTCTCTTCTCTCTCAAATAGAGCAAGTAAACATTAAAAACAAGGAAATTAGCATCGATATGATGCGTTGCTATTTCACACACCTTAGTTCAGTTTTCACTCGGTGAAGAAATTATTCTCCTGCGAAGGACCTGATCCGGGACTGCATTTAGACATCCTGCCTCTCTTTAACCTCCTTCAATCCAGAACCTTCCTTGATGTGTCTCTGTCTTCTTCAGGGATGGATGAGATGGTGAGAAGGGATGTATAGTGAGAGGGTGAGAGGGTGAGATGGTGAGGAATGTGAGATGGGTGAGAAAGAGCTGTGAGAAGGTGAGAGGTGAGCAGGCAGGAATATTAGAGATGGAGGCTGCTGCTGTGAGATGGATGATGAGAGGTGAGAGTGAGCAGGAGACAGGAGAAGGGAAGGAAGAGTGAGCAGGAGAGGTGAGGGAGGGAGAATGGATGGAATGGAGAGGCAAAAAGAGTAGAGTAGATCCCACCTTGTCCCACCTTGTCACCACCGATGAGATAGAGACCCATATATCAAGTTGTATGGTGTTTTCTGTGCTTGGGCCATTTCGTGTGCAGTGCCTGCCAAATGTGCAAAGTGTGTAAAGGTAAATAAGCATGCATGGAATGTATGTATGTATATAAATGGAATGTATGTTATGTATGCTATTTTATATGGCTATGGTATTTGGTGGGCATGGAATATTTTGGGTATGATTTATGTTTCGGCAAAGATGCAAATGCATCAACAAAGTTGCCGTGTTGTGTGTTCTACAAAATTTCCCAAGTTCTGGTGCATGGCCATGTAGTGTTACATTGCTTCCAGCCAAAATGTTTCAAAGGTTGCGAAAAGACAGAGACACATCAAGGAAGGGTTCTGGATTGAAGGAGGTTAAAGAGAGACAGGATGTCTAAATGCAGTCCCGATCGGGTCTCAAGAGGGAGAAATAATTTCTTCTCACCGAAAGTGAAACTGAACTACAGGTAGATAAAGCAGCATCATATCATGCTAATTTTTGTTTTAATGTTTACTTATCTATTTGAGAGAGAGAAAGAGAGAGAGAGGGAGAGAGATTAACAATGCATGGTGAGGGAAGAGATCGGCAGGGAAAGTAACGGTAGGTGGGACGCTCAAGCCCTTGTTCCAGGCAGCGCCTGTCCGGCTACACACACCGCCCCGGCCTCACAGTAGCAGTCCTGTGAGATGTGTTGGAGCATCTCTAGTCCCATTTCACAGAGGGGGGAAACTGAGGCTCACGGGCAGACCAGTAACTTACCTAGTCTGTGAGGAGAGAAGGCAGCTGGGTTGGGAGGTGACTGACAGGCAGGGTGAGTGGGCCCTGGATGAAGCTGGTTCCTGCATCTCCTCCTAAGAGCCTCAGTCTGACCTGTAATGGCTGGCGCATCGGCCTTCTCCCCATTAGACTACAAGCCCCTTGAAGGCAGGGGTTGCAGTCTGCCTCGCCCCGAAGAGGGTCTGCATGCAGGAGAAATGCAGCAAGCTGCTTTCTGTCCGAATAACTGGTTACCTATAATGATTATGATGACTGTTAATGATAACAGAAATAAAGGTTCTCATTTATGCTTAATGTATCATCTTCAAAACAACCCGAAGACGGTGTTATCCCCGCTTTGACAGTTAAAGAAACTGAGGCTCACAGAGAAGTCTCTGTTCAGGCAGGTAGCCAGGCGGCATGGCTGCCACTTGCCCCTGACTCCACCTGCCTTCCAGCACCCACTGGAAGTCCTTCTTGGGAGATGAGGCCACGGGATCGGGTGACGTGGTCCTGAAGGCCCCCCAGAGCCCACGCATGTCCTTGGAGTTTCTTTGCATCATGTCAAGAACTTGAGGATCATCTCCACGCTGGATGAGGATTCCACAAGCATGCCACCATCTGCCGGGCAATCATGCCATTCGACGCTCCCGTGGGCAGGCCCTCCTGGTCAGTGTGGCTGGTGGACCTCCTCTCCTGAGCCTCATGCGCCCTTCTCCAGCTCAGAGCCACCAGGATCCCCTGTGCTGGTGGAAGCTTCCCCTGGCCAGCTCCCAAGCCTCGGCCTCAGAGGGCACAGCTCATTTCCTGATTCGCATCAGCATCATGTGTGAATCTGGCTGGTCCCCTCCCCTGATAGGGTGGGGAGTCTCCTCATTAAAACAAACCGCGGCATGTTAACAGCAGGTCCCAGATGCCACGCCAAGTGTGCGGGGAAGTGTGTTACTATCCGTGTTTCCAGATGAGGAAATAGACCCAGAGAAAGTCACATCGCCCAGGGTTACATCACATCACACAACGAGGGGGTGAGGAGGACTTGAACCTGGCTGCATGACCTCAGCGCCACACGCCTTCCACTTGTCCTCTGAGGCCAGGTCCCAGATGAGCAAGGTAGGCCAAAGTTAAGATGGGTAGGGGAGAAGTGAGACTCTGGTAAACTGATCCCACCCCCTGTCTAAAGCAACTGGTTTCAGCTTCTTTTTGTACTTTTCCATTCAATTTATTTATATTTAGATTAAAAATTTTTGATATTTTTGGGATTGGTGGCGTAGTCGGGTTGTTGCCCCGACGCCAGGTCACGACCACGGGGTCTCAGGAGTTCTGCGCCCCGCCGGGTTTGGGCTGGCTCGAGCCTGGAGCCTGCTCTCCATTCTGTGTGCTCCCCCCTCTCTGCCCCTCCCCCTGCTCATGTCATTCCTCTCTGTCCCAAAATAAATAAAAAAAAAAAACGTTGAGAAAAAAAAAAAAATTTTTATTTTTGGCATCTCTACACTGCCTGGGCTCGGAACTCACAACCCAGAGGTCAGGAGTTGGGCAAGTGCTCCATGGTGGATGGAGCCAGCCAGGCTTCCCTGTACCTTTCAATTTTAACACGATATTTCAATTACATGAAACTTCAGTGCAAGGGGACTTCTCCTATTCAGATTCACTGATCGTTTACATTTTGCCACATTTGCTTCCTAATTCCTGTCTCGCTTTTCTCCCTTCTCTTCCCCTTCCTCCTCCCCCTCTATTTTTCCCCAGCTATTCCAGAGTAAGCTGCAGACATGGTGGTGTCCTGAATATTTAGCAAGGGGGAGTATATGCCTTAAAGACAAGAACATTCTGAATATAATCATATTATTGTCACCATTTGACATTGATACACTTTACTTATTTAAGCCGGTGCAGCTGATTTTTTACAAGGCGCGAGAATGTGGACGGGTGGGTGGGGGAAGGGTCACCAAATCTTTCCACTTTCATGAAAAGCTGGGAATCTGATGTTTAAAGGAAACCTTCTGATTTTATTTATTTTTAAATCGCTTATTTGTTTATTATTAATCTCTACACCCAACATGGGGCTTTGAACTCATGACTCCAGATCAAGAGTCGCGATGCTCTTCCACCGAGCCACAGCCAGGCACTCTTTCTGCTTTTTTTTTTTTTTTTTTTTTTAACCTTCTGATTTTTAAAAATGCTTATTTAATTGCAAGCTGGTGCAGCCACTGGAAAACAGTATGGAGGTTCCTCAAAAAAAACTAAAAATAGAACTGCCCACTAATTCAGCAATTGCACTACTAGGCATTTATCCATCGGATACAGGTGTGTTGTTTCAAGGACAATGCACCCCATGTTATAGCAGCAGCACTACCAGTAGCCAAAGTATGAAAGAGCCCACCTAATGTCATTAATGGATGAGTGGATAAAGATGTGGTATGTATACAATGGAATAATACTCAGCAATCAAAAGAATGAAATCTTGCCATTTGCAACGACGACACGGATGGAACTGAGGGTACTATTCCTAAGTGAAATTATCAGAGAAAAGACAAAAGTAAGGACTTCACTCATATGAGGACTTTAAGAGACAGAACAGAGGAACATAAGGGAAGGGAAACAAAATAATATAAAAAACAGGAGGGGGGGACAAAACAGAAGAGACTCATAAATATGGAGAACAAACAGAGGGTTACTGGAGGGGTTGTGGAGGGGATGGGCTAAATGGGTAAGGGCACTCAAGGAATCTACCCTGAAATCATTGCTGCACTATATGCTAACTAATTTGGATGTAAATTTTAAAAAATAAAAAATAAAATTAAAAAATGCTTATTTACATTTGACTTCAGCTCAGGTCATGAGCTCAGGTTTGTGAGTTCAAGCCCCACATCGGGCTCTGTGCTGACAGCTGAGCCTGGAGTTTGCTCGTTTTTTTTCTCCTCCCCGCCGCCGCCGCCATAGCAGCTTGTCTTCTTTCTGTCTCAAAAATAAATAAACATTAAAAATTTTTTTAAAAAATGCTTATTTATATTTGACAGAGAGAGAGAAAGAGACAGAGAGAGAGAAAGAGAGCAAGCAGGGGAGGGGAGCAGAGAGAGCTGGAAACAGAATCGGAAGTGGGTTCCAGGCTCTGAGTTGTCAGCACAGGGTTCAGTATGGGCTCGAACCGCCGCGGAGATCACGACCCGAGCCAGCCGAAGTCAGATGCTTAATCGACTGAGCCACCCAGGCACCCCAGGAACCTTCTAATTTTTAAAAGCTAATGACTACACATCAAAAACATTGAAAGATTGTAGGAGGATTATCCATTGCAACATTTTTTTGTAATAGCAAAACATTTTTTTAATTTGAATGTCCATTGACTGGGGTGTGGCTAAATGAATCACCGTTCACTCACACAATGGAGTATTATGCAACCATGGAAAGGAATGAGGACACTGAATCTCTGTAGAAAAGTCTTTGTCTACTAGTTAAAATGTCTTATTCATTAGCAGTAAATAATAGTTGTTTTAAGTCACTAAGTTTTGAGGACATTCCTGAGGCAGCAAAAGCTAAGTGACACATTTAACAAATGAACATAGATAACTATTAGGTACATACATTTTTTTTAAATGTTTATTTATTTTTGAGACAGAGAGAGACAGAGCATGAACAGGGGAGGTGCAGAGAGAGAGAGGGAGACACAGAATCGGAAGCAGGCTCCAGGCTCCGAGCTGTCAGCACAGAACCCGAAGCGGGGCTCGAACTCACAGACCGTGAGATCATGACCTGAGCTGAAGTCGGACGCTCAACCAACTGAGCCACCCAGGCGCCCCAGGTACATACATTTTAAAGAGTGTCCAGGCCACCCACCTTATTAAGATTTCCCCGGGAATTCACAAAACTAACGTGTGTACAGTTGGCATATAATAAGTGCTCAGTAAGGGTTTACTGAGTTTGGTACTGTGACTCCTTCATCAACCCATTGACCCTGACACGATGTGGGATGAAGTTGAAGGTTAGGGTCTCCTGGGTCTCCGAGGGCCATTCCCTGCTTGTCTGTATCTTTGTACCCTCCCCTTACCCACACCCGCTGGGCACTTACCTTCTAGTAGCGACAGCAACATCACCACCATGTCCTTCTGTAGGTCCAGCAGCTCCTTCAGCAGCTCGATCTGGCTCGAGTCCTAGAGACCCCACACCCCAACCATGGGATAACTGGTCTCTGCAGAGACGCCTCCCCACCTCCAGCTGCTTCCGCCCCTCCTGACCCACCCCATGGGGCCTAAGACCCCTTTTTCTCCCCCTCTTACCTCCGAGGGGACCCGACTCCACACATGTTCCTCGGAAGCAGGGGAAGGGGCAGAGAGACAAGATTGTGGGGGTGGGGTTGGCACTTTGGGGGGTAAGCAGGCCCAACGGGTGCTATGTGGGGGCAAGAGCTGGCGGACAAGGAGGGCTGGGAGAGAAGCTTGGAGCTGAGAGAGACAGAGAGGGGCACGTACTGGGTAGGGAGACACAGCTGGGGAGGGGTGAGAGCTCAGCACTGTGCCTGGTTTATGGTGGCTGCTCGATCCATGTTTGTTGAGTGACTATGTGATGGAAAAAGCGAGACTCTGGGTTCAGGAAAAAGGCTGGAGGACTCAGCCACATGCCTTTCGGTGAACAATTTGGGAAGAATGTGGGGGCACATTGCCTCCCTAGTCACAGTGCCTCATGTAGTGCCTACAGAAACTTCCTACATGGTCAGAGTTCTGCCTCATAGTCCCCACAGGTATTCTGTTGAGCTACATAAAACTGCTAATATGTGAGCATTTTTGACCCACCGAGTGGTCATTTCATCTGGTTCTACCTAATACAATGGAGAAGGGGGAAGGATGCTGGATAAAAGGCACGTAAGGCTCCTCTACCCGAATGCTCCTTCTAGAGTTCTAATTCTAACACAGTTCCAAAGCTCGGCATTCTGACTCTGAACTCCCAACGTTCCGGAATCTCAATCCAACTCTGTGGGTGCCCGTGGTGTGCGCCTGCCGGTGATGCACGAGGCAGCGCCCTGCTTCCGGTAACAACCCCAGTCTCAGAGCAAGTGGGGCTAACCCCTTTGCTGGTTTCACAGGTGGGTACGTGACCAGATCTGGCCAATCAGAGCCCTCCCCTGGCCACGGTGATTGGTTCTGGGATGAGCATGTGACCCAATGGTCCAAACAGAGAATCCCAAGTGGGAGCTCCGACAGAAGAGGGATTATCTTCCCTCTGGAGCTGTTGGGGGGAGGGGGGTGCATAGAAGTCTGGGGCACCATTTTTTTTCAGTCCGGGGAAGAGCCTGCTTGAGAATGAAGCCAGAGAAGGCAGATAGTTCAGCTGACATCACTCTAGGCCCTGGATCTCTGGTGTGAACTGATAAATCCCTCCCACACCCCCACCCCGATTAGGCCATCACTTTGCATTGGATTCCCAGCCCATGCAACCTAGCCCTAGTCCTTGGCTAATGCATCAGCACTGCAGGATGTGGAATTCTAGACTAAAATACCAGTACTCGCTAGACTTTGAAGATGACACCAATAACACAACTTCGACCGCACTGAAACTAAGGAATTGCATTCTAAGTTCAGCTCCTTTCAAAAAGTCAGGTGACAGCAGACAGGATTTCTGCCAGCCCCTGTGGCACCTTTGAGTAACTAGAAAAAGGCTCCCCTTCCTCAAGACGCTTCCTGCGGGGAAATTATAATACGGCGTACAGAGTACTGCCATCTGCTGGAACAGTTACATTTATGCCGTTCAGGATGCGGATGGTACAGCCTCGAATATGTTTACCAGACAGAAGCAGAGCATGAGGCACTGACCAGACTGCAAAGGGGCAGGGGTGATAGGGGAAGGGTACACAGGATTCTAGAAATGGGAGAAGGACTCGACAGGGACCTTACATCATGGGTGCCCGAGATGGGCGTCATCTGCCGCAGGCAGAATAAAGAAGCAAAACACTCCTTCAGCCCCAGTCCCTGTTCTAGAAAGACACCCCCTTTCTATCCCCAGGGAGGTCAGAGTCTGAGAGGACCTCACCCCGAGAAAAGAACACCAACCAATCATAGAGGAACTCCGGGCCAAAGGGGGCGGGGCCCAAACGTCAAACCAATGGAAGTGTGCATGGGAAACCAGCCGATTGGTGGTGGCAGAGGAGGAGGCGGGGTCATGCAGAGAGCCAATCCAGAAGGAAGATGGATTTGGCCACCCCTAGGGAACTCTTCTGGAACATGCCAGGGGGACTTGGGTGAGAAACTGAGTTGGAAGTGAGCCGCTTCGGGGATGCCCGAGAACAGCTGCAGGAAGAACAACAGAGGGTCTCGAACCTGAGCGAGCTTCATCATCATGTGGGCAAACACGTGCAGGAATCCCACCACGGCGTCCCAGAGGCGGCTGTGCGCCAGGCTCTGCTGGTTCCCGGTGCAGGGGCCCTGGGGGCAGAGGGCTGCAGTGAGCGCCAAGCAGGGCGCAGGGTGCGGGGATAGGGGGTGGGGGGGCGTCGCTCCGCCCCAGAGGGCGGGTCCTACCTGGATGTACTCGGTGAGGCTGTTGAACACCTGTTTAGCGACCGACATGGCCTTGGAAAAGTTCCTCTTGCCCTGCTCCTCAATGACATCCTTGCCGGAGTAGTACCAGTAGAAGTCGCTGATGGACTCCTGGGGGGACCGACGGGGTGTGAAGGGGTGCTGGGGCCAACCGGGGCCCCACAACCCCCCACCCAGGTCACACCTGGACGGCCTCACAACCTCACCTGCAGCCGCAGGAGGTAGTCCACCGTGCAGATGATGATGTTAATGGTGGTCGTGTTCCCTGTCTGTGTCCGTAGGTAATTTTGGAAATCTGGGGAGATGAAAAGCCATTCGTTCATTGAGAGTCTGCCGTGTGCTAGGGGAGGGGGACAGTGGGTCGTTTATTCATTTATGCAATAGGTTTATTGAGTGCCTCTTGTATGCCAGAGGCATAGAATTGTTCTTGTTAGTTTATTTAATAAATCTTTATCAAGTACCTACTGTGTGTCAGAGGAAGATGAGGATCATTTATTCATTTATGTAAATAACTATTGAGGGCCAACTGCATGCCAGATATGGTGGAGGGTCAGTCATTTATTCATACATCCCCCCCCCCCCCCCCCCGCAAACACCTTTCTTGTGCACCCACAGTATAGCAGGGGAAAATGGAGATTCAGTCTTCCGTTTCCAAAAATGTTTATCGAACACCTACTATGTGATGGGGGAGATGGAAGATTGGTTATTTTTTCATTCATTTATCCAACAAATATTTACTGAGCACCTAGCCAAAGCCAGAAGAGATAAATATCTGCCATTTCTTTTGTATATTTGTTCAATATCTATCTATTTATTTATTTTTAACGTTTATTTATTTTTGACACAGAGAGAGAGAGAGAGACAGAGCATGAGTGGGGGAGGGGCAGAGAGAGGGAGACACAGAATCCCAAGCAGGCTCCAGGCTCTGAGCTGTCAGCACAGAGCCCGATGCAGGGCTCGAACTCACGGACCACGAGATCATGACCTGAGCCGAAGTCGGATGCTCAACCGACTGAGCCACCCAGGCTCCCCTCAATATCTATTTATTGAGCACATACTATCTGCTAATGTGAGATGGAGATTGGCCACTTATTCTTCGGTACTACAAGTTTATCGAGCATTTATGATGTGCCAGGCACTGTTCTGGGCCCTGGGAATACAGCAGTAAAAGAAAAAGTCCCTGCCCTTGTGAAGTTTATATTCTTGTGTAGTAATTTTTCAATCTTTTCTGACTGCAACTTACAGTAGGGGAACCATTTTACATTAAAACCCAGTACATGTGTTTAAACTGAAATTATATCCACATATACCCAAAACAGAAGTTTCACATACTCACACATGTGCTATGTATTCTGGTATTTTTTGTCCTGTGCTAGTCTAGTTACCTACAAAAGAATTCTGATCTCGATAAGGAGAAAAAATAGTTTCAAACAGAGAGGGAGGCAAACCATAAGAGACTTAAATACAGAGAACAAACTGAAGGTTGATGGTGGAGGGTGAGAGAGAAGGGAAAACGGGTGATGGGCATTGAGGAGGGCACTTCTTGGGATGAGCACAGGGTGTTGTACGTAAGCGATGAATCACGGCAATCCACCCCCCCCAAACCAAGAGCACACTGTATACACTGTATGTTAGCCAACCTGCCAATAAATTATATTTTAAAAAATTATCTTAACTCACTACATTCGTAGTCCTCAATCTCTCAACCTTGGCTGCATGTTAGAATCACCTGGAGGCTTTTCAAAGTCCCCCTGCTCAAACCCCAACCCTAGACCAATTAAATTACAGTCTCTGAGGGTGAATGAACACTGGGCTTTAGTGTATTTTAAAAATATGCTCCCCAGGCATATCAGCGTGGAATTCAGATGAGAGCCTCTGAAATACACGGATTCACAACTCTCTGGTGCATTGGTTCCCACTATTTGAAAAACATTCTTCTATGGCAAAAAGCTGATAACTGCTACAGCTGAGTGATGGGTACCATTTATTAGACCATTCTCTCTATTTTGGTTGCGGTTGAGAAGTTAGTAATAATAATAATTATAAACATGGGTTCATGGGTCGTAGGGGTGGTGGTGGTGGGGAATACCGAGCAGAATGATCAGGGTTGTGAGGTGGGAAAACTAGGCGGCTGCAGTCGCCCAGAGGAGATGCCTAACTCAGCTGATGACGACGTAATCAAGGAAGGCTCCTTGGGGGAAGGGACCTCCACTGAGGCAGGAAAGGTAAGTAGGAGTGGGCTGTATGAATTCCCAGGTGTGTGACCTCAGGCAAGTTATTGAATCCCTATGTGTGGCACAGACTGTGCCTCAGTTCCCCCATATGTAACATGGTGGTTACAGCACACCCTACTTTATGGAGCTCTTGTGAATTTTTAATGCTTTGGCATACATAAAAAACTTAGGACAGTGGTGCCCGGGTGGCTCAGTCAATTAAGCGTCTGACTCTTGATTTTGGCTCAGGTCATGATCTCACCGTTTGTGAGATGGAGTCCCGCATCGGGTTTTGTGCTGACAGCGTGGAGCCTGCTTGGGATTCTCTCTCTCTCCCCCTTACACTGGGCTTCTCTTTTAAAAATTTTTAATGTTTTATTTATTCTTGAAAGAGAGAGAGAGAAAGAGCAGGAGCGGGGTTGGGGCAGAGCGAGAGAGGGACACAGAATCGGAAGCAGGTTCCAGGCTCTGAGTTGTCAGCACAGAGCCCAACATGGGGCTGGAACTCACAACCGCGAGATCATGACCTGAGCTGAAGTTGGACGCTTTACCGAATGAGCCACACAGGCACCCCTCTCTCTCTTTCAAAATAAATAAATAAATGCTTTTTCCAAATTAAAAAAAAAATTAGGATAGCCATCTGGTACGAGTGCTCAATAAACATTAGCTGTTCTTAAAGAGGCTTAAAGAGTGCTGAGGTTAACGGCTGCACTTTGGAGCAGTGATTCTCAAAGTGTGGGTCCCAGACCGGTAGCCTCAGCATCTCCTGGGAACTTGTCAGAGACAAGAATTACTGGACTCCATCCCAGAACTACTAAATCAGAGAATCTGGGGCGGAGCCCTCAAATCTGTATTTTAACAAGGCCTCGAGGTGATTCTGAGGCCCTCTTAAGTTGGAGAACCACCTCTGTAGACCCATTTGCCAAATGATCAATTCATCAAATTGTGAAGGCAATGAAAACAAACTTCAGCTAAGTCCTTTGCACGTTCATGGCAATGTCATATTGCACAGGATGGCTTTACCAGCCCTTGAAAGGTTTTCCCCCCCCAAAGTTTTACTGTCCATCTGACATCTATTTCATAATTGCTGTATCATAATCACTTCTATTTCATAAACCATTTTGCCTGGTTTCACACTGTAGATGAAGATTATGCTCAAATATTCAATATTTTAGAAGCAAATGTAGGGGCGCCTGGGTGGCGCAGTCGGTTAAGCGTCCGACTTCAGCCCGGTCACGATCTCGCGGTCCGTGAGTTTGAGCCCCGCGTCAGGCTCTGGGCTGATGGCTCGGAGCCTGGAGCCTGTTTCCGATTCTGTGTCTCCCTCTCTCTCTGCCCCTCCCCCGTTCATGCTCTGTCTCTCTCTGTCCCAAAAATAAATAAAAAAACGTCGAAAAAAAAAATTAAAACCCCAAAGACTGATTCCACCTTAGTTACGATTAAAGAAAGTCCTAGTCACGTGGCACAAAGGTATTTCATGAACCTTGAAGAAAAACTGGCTGTGGACATAAGAGCTTTTGAGAATGCAGAGCAATGGATCCTGCTTTATCCTTTGTTTGAACAGAGAAGAGTTTGGATTAAAGAAATTTACATATGAGTTACCTTCACGAACATTAGCAAATGGGATGCAGGTTCTATGGAAGTTAGATTTATGATTACTTCCATTCTTGTCATGAAGCTTAGTTTCTGGGCAGTCTGTGGTTTCACAATTACCTGCTAAGTATCACAACCACAACCCTGAGACTTGCATATTTTTATAGGAAATGACATTGGGTAGAAAGTTTGCTGTACAGAAGTTTGATGGTCCCTTTAAGGCTGTGAGCTATGTATGTTTCACTAGCTTGCTGTGTCAGCCTTGATCTGGTTAAACCGCCTGAACCAGAAAAAAAGTTGGGGAAACTCTAAGTTAGGAAAGGATCTGTAAGGCCTTCCACCTGGCAGAGTATTTTAGAAGTGAAATTAAGAAGTGATTCTAATAAACGCATTTTTAAATGCCATGTGATTTCCCCCCCCCTCTACAAAACCAAAGTATGGAAATCTACTGCATCTACTTAACTCTGGCAGCTGCTGCAAAATGCCTGTGGAAAAATGTCATGTGGCTAATTGCTCATTTGGGCAAACTGATCTGGGGGCAGGCAGGTTTGGGGGCAGATTTCTTTTGGGGAATTTGGACTGGCTAGAAGAGGTGAAAGTGTAGCAAAGGGGCTAGATTCCAGAAATTCAAGAGCGATTTAGGAAGGTGGGTGGGCAGGGCTTGATAATGGCTGAAAATAAAGGATGGAGGACAATCGGGGCCAGGGCGAGTGGTGAGGCCACCTCTGATAAGGAGGGAGGGCCCTGGAGTTTAACTCAGACAACCCTTCTAGACTGACCCGAAACCCTGGCCTCCTCTTCATCCACTCTCCCACCCGCCCCTCCTCCTCACCATTATTGTGCCCCTCGCAGAGCAATTGCAGAAAACGGAACAGATCTTGGGTGAACTCATCGTCTGCCATGACCTTCTCTCCTGGGTGGAAGAGGGGGGGCAGGGCCCAGAAAGTGTCAGATGTGTCAGGGGAAAGCGCACACATGCACACGGCCCTTGCACACTGCACACGCATGCACAAAGCACGGGTGCGCAGGGAGGAGCAGCCGCCACTTCAAAGACACTGTGAGGGCCACGGGTATCCATGACACCAGGGGGTCCCGATTTCAGAGGCATCAGCAAATGAAGACCTGAAGGGTCCTGAGTCATGAAGCTGGGGCCTCAAGTGTCTTTCTAAATATCTGTGTTCCTCTGACGTCACCACTTGTGTGCCGTCTGGGAATGTCTGCCTATCCAGCAGAAGTTCAGGCAGCTGGTATCTCCCTCAGCCCCCATCCAGGGCCACGGAGGGCGGAGTTAATGGATTAAGGGGATTGGAGTCAATTTCGCGCAAAGGCTCTGAGCAGGAGGGGATTGGGCAGGGAGTGGGATCCAAAGCCAGCCAATTGGCTCAGATGCCTTGAAATCAGCCAATCCAGGAGATGCGGGGGAGGGGCGTGTAAACATGGGCCAATCAGAATGGGCATCTGAAAGAAGCCAGTCACCGTGGGCTCTAAAGGAGGGAAGAGAGAAAGGGAGGCTAGACAGGGATGGGCCAACCAGAGCAGGCGCAGAGGAGGCACGCACACCAATCCGAGTGGATGCTGGGGACAACCAATCCGGTTGGCGTATGGGAACCGCAGACTTGACCAATCTGGGGTCGCGGGCGCAGAGAGCGGGGTAGGTGGGAGTGGGGATTACCCCACCCCGGGACTGCGAATCTGGGTCTGGAAGTCTGAGAACATCCAGCTGGAAAGGGATCTTTCCCATCTTCTCTAGCTTCTATTTTACACATGGGGAAACTGAGGCTTATAGAAGGGAAGAGACTTGTTCTTAGTCTCGGGTATTGTTAGTGGCTAATCTGGGACCCGAATCTTGGTCTCTGGACCCCTGATCTCAAGACTTAATGCCGGCGGGATAAATCGCTGAAGGGTTCCTCCCTCCCTGGATGTCCCAGATCCTCAGCCCCCAGGTGGAGGGGGGCGGTTGGGGGTTAGAAGGGAGGGGTGCAGCAGCACAGCAAGGGGAATGGGCTGGGGGAATTACCGTTCTGGCGGTTGATGACTGGGGCAGCCAACAGGATGGGAGGAGGAAGCAGGAAAAAAGAGGGAAAAAAAGAGACAGGAAGGAGACAGAGACAAACACAGAAAAACAGTGACACAGTCAGAGATGAAGAAGACATCGACACGAAGAGAGGAACAACCACAGAGAATCAGACCGATAAGGAGACAGATGGAACCAAGGAAGAGTAGGAAATGAGGGTAAAAGCGGAGGGAGAGAAAGAAGAGGGAAGAGAAAAACAGGTGTACAAGTAGAGGTGGAGGGGCAGGAGGCGAGGATCAGGGCAGAAAAGTTAGACACGTCACAACACGGCAAAGAGGAGACTCGATTAACCCGGATTAGGGACATTAATGAGAACAGCAACCAGGGTGGGAGACTTGGGGCACGTGAAGGGCGGGGGTCGGTGTGGTGATGGGTGAGAGAACACAGGACAGAAGGACAGCCAAGGGTGGGGACCCCGAGGAGGGAGACCCGGGAGGAATGTGGGGGCAGGACTGGGGACCACTGCACAGGAGGTGGGAGGTGGGGTGGGGGTGGAGCTTGGGGATGGTTGTGGAGCGGAGGAGTCTTGGAGGAAGGGAGCTTTGGGCAATGTGGGCGAGGGGGTGATCCCGAAGGAAGAGGATGTCCCAGGAGAGGGAAGCCCAAGAGAGGGCCTCACCGGTTCCATCCTCGTTCACCATGCCCAGACCCTCTGCCTTGTTCTGTCTCTCGAAGGCGTTGAGATCCAGGACGCTGTGCGAGGGGCGGGGGAGGTGGAAGGAAAGATGGGGAAGATGGGCTGAGGCCTCTGCCCTCTTTCAGAGCCCTGCAACGCCCCCACCCCCTCCCCACCCTGCCGTTAGCGAGTCGAGTCGAGGGCCACAGTAAACCAGGAATGAGCTGAAATCATCGAGAGGAAGCAGAAACAGAACTGGAAGAAGCCATGTGGCCGCAGCTCACAAGTAAGGTGGGGCCAGGATGAAATATGCACAAGTTGAAATCGGGAGGAAACAGAAGCCCTCAATTAGCAAAGCTGGTGGGGGAGGGGAGGAGTCAGTTGCCAGAAGAGAACAAAGGCAGAGGTAGTAGTCAAGTTAATAGGGGTCATCAGAGAGAGCCCCAGTTCCCTGCTGCTTCAGTGCCCCTTGAATTCTCCACAAGCTTTCGGCTTCAGCTGTTCATTCATTTTTTTTTTTTTTTGAAGTTTACTTATTTATTTTGAGAGAGAGACACAGCATGAGGAGGGGAGAGGCAGAGAGAGAGGGAGAGAAAGAATCCCCAGCAGGCTCTGCACTGTCAACCCGATGCGGGCCTCGAACCTAGCAACCGTGAGATCATGACTTGAGCTGAAACCAAGAGTCATGAAACCAAGATCATGACCCACACTGAAGTTGGATGCTTAACCGACTGAGCCACCCAGGAGCCCCTCCAACTGGTCATTCTTAAAGCCTCTCACTATTGTTATGATAATCAGCTCCCTGGTATTTGAGCTAGTTTGAGTGGGCCTCTGTTCCTGGCGGTGGTACCGAGTGGGGGCACAGCAACCGCAAAGAGCGTGACTGAAAGATGTCCCCTAGACCCTACCTGCATGTTTGCATCAGCGCCTGGATACTCTGGAAGAAGCCAACTTCCTTCTTGTCCTTCAGATAATCCAGCATTTTCTACAGAAGGGGTGGGCGGGGAGGAGGAGCTGGGAGTCACACAGGAACCTCCCACCCCTCTTAGCCCTCTTCCCAAGTCCCTTCTCCTGTTACCTGTTGCACATCAGCATTGCCTCCATTTAGGATGGAGATGCCCAGCTTCAGGGTGGAGGACACCATGGCGCCCGTCTCTCCTGCGGGGGGGACGGAGGGTCGCATAAGAGGGTCCGCTCAGTTTGAGAGCACTGTTCTCCACCCACCAGAAAACAGCCATCCCAGGGTACGTGGGAGAAGTGGGGGGGGGGAGTAGCATGCCAGGGCGAGGGACGGGTGAGACATCGCGAGGCAAGTGGAATGTGTGAGCGCTGGCGTGCAAAGCACAGGCATGCGGGGTGGGCGAGGGTGCCCCAGGGTCCCCGGGGAGTGGGGACAGGATGCGTGTGCTCGGGAGGAGGGCCTGCACGAGGGCACCTTTGCAGGCACTGATCATCTGGAGCACCATCTCCGCGGCTCCCCGGTTGTGCAGCCGCGCCTGCTGGTACAGGAGCCTCTGCTTCTCCATCTCTTTCTCCTGCGGCAGAGCCAGGCCCGCGGCGCCTAGTGAGTCCAGGCTCACCAGCCAGCCTTTCCCCCTCACAGCCTCATCCTTCACCCTGACCCTCCCTGCTCCAACCACACCTAATTTCTTTTTTTTTTTTTTTTTTAATTTTTAAAACGTTTGTTAAAATGTGAGAGAGAGAGCGCATGCGCAAGCTGGGGAAGGGCAGAAAGGGAGACAGAGGATCTGGAGCAGGCTCCAAGCTGCCAGCAGAGAGCCCGAGGTGGGGGCTCGAACTCACAGAACCGCGAGATCATGACCTGAGCTGAAGTCAGACACTTAACCGACTGAGCCACCCAGGCATCCCCACACCTCATTTCTTTAATTGTGAACTCCCTCTATCCCCTGGGACTGAAGTCCACGATTCGTCTCTTGTGCTCAGTGCGGGGCCAGACACGGAGCAATCTTAACCTGGACCCACACGTGGACCCCCAAGGGGGCCCTGAACAGGGGAAAAATTATATTTTTGTGTTTACTGCCCTCTGACTGAAACGGAGCATTTCCTTCCATTATAAATCATAGCAATATTAGAACCCCTGGTTTTGTCACCAAGAAGAACCACAGATGTTTCCATGCCGCGTTATTTTTGCAGCCATCTTAAAACACTGCTTATGTTCATTACTCATCAGTTACTGTAGCTACTGGCCCCACTGTGAAATCGTGTCATTTGAAGGATGCCTAACCCTAACCCTAAAGGCAGTTATGACTGTCTTACAATTTTTGAAACAATATTTTGATGGTTCTTTCAATATGCTTGTTTCCTCTGCTATGAATTCATTTTATACATTTAAAAACATACTTCTAAGAGAGGCTTCACCAGATGCCAAAAGGGACCCTGGCAGAAAAACAGTTAAGAAACTCGGGGAAATGCTTACTGACTGCCTTAATGATGAATGGATGGGTCAGCTGCGTGTTTACCAGCTCTTTCTCACTGCCTGGCCTTTGCACATGCTGTTCCCCTGATCTGAAACACCTTTCTCCTTTTCTTCATCTGGCACACTCCTTTTATCCTCCTGCTCAGACATCCTCTCCTCCGAGAAGCCCTCCCTGACACCCTTCCCCCACAGGGTGGGTCAGGCACCTTGCTTGGGCTTCCACAGTCCCCTAAACTCCCCCCCCCCCATGTCTCCCTGAGCTTCTTTGGATTCCCCGACCCTGACCCCTCTGCCTGGAGCTTCCCTCATCACCACCATGAATATTGTTGCTGTCTGCTCGATGTATCTGTCTTGCCAGTAAACTGAGTCATTGCCGTGTCCCCAACATCACCTAGCACAGGGCTGGGCCCAGAGCACTACTCTGTGAACACAGGCTGAATGAATGAGGAATGACCGAAGGCAGGGTCCCTTATCCCTTTTCTCAGGGACCTCCTGATCCCACCTACCTCAAAGGAAACCTCAACTTCCTCTTCTTCGGCTTCGCCGTTCTCCCCTCCCTCCTCCAAGTGGCAGCTCTGGGGATGGGGCATCAGTTAGGGATGGCGGTGAACAGGGCAGACACCCCAGTTCACCCCCAGCCCTGTCAGTGGACAGGCACTGCAGCTGGGGAGAAGGGAGCCTGGCCTGGGGGATGGGGGCAGGGCCTCACCTTTGCCATGATGTCGGCATACGCCATATACAGGTAATCCTCGTCCAGTTTGCTGAGGAAGTAAGGGAGGAGAGAGTCAGGACCTGGTGGAGAGGGCCCCCATCTCATAACAGCTTCCGGTTTTCCTTTGGAGAGCCACGCTCAGGCTGTGTGGTTTGGGTGGGAGAGACTGTCCACGGCCAGAGTGGGCGTGTGACTGAGGATGAGCCAGTTGGCATTTTCGATCTGCTTGGCCACCGTAATAAATAGATACGAGATGGTTATGGGATTCGTGCTGGTCCACTGCAACTCGTTCTGGGAGTGTTGCTGGAACTATTGGTAGATGTGCTCCCTTTCCACTGGGGTTGCCAAAATGATGTGATGGACACCTGGAGCTTCTAGGGCCATTTTGCCACCTGTTGGTTCATTTGACCACTATGACCTTCTTGGGTCTCCTCAGCAAAAATAATAATAATAATAATAATAGTAGTAGTAGTAACGGCCCACACCCATTGAATATTTACTCTAAGTTAGTCCCTGTTCTAAGTGCTTTATATATGTATTAACAAATTAATCCTCACAATAATCCTATTAGGTAGATACTACTAGCCTCATTTTACAGATGCACAAAGATCCTTCTTGGCCAAGCCACACAGCTTGTACCGCGATTCAACCCTGGATAATATAACTCCAGAGTCATGGCTTTCCAAAGGATGGAAAACAGGACGCTCAGTGTCCCAGTGTCCCGTGTAGCTGGTGGTGGCCTGATGTCAGAATTCTGGCAGATGAGAGATGTACAGAAGCCCACCAAGGAGAGCGCCTTTTCTTGGATAAAAAAGGTCTTGATTTTGCTCAGAGGGAAAAAAAGGCTCTCTCTTTCTCTCTGCCTGGCATGTGGTCGTGTCTGGAAGTTCAGCGATCCATCTTCTGACCACAAGACAAAAGGTCAGAATGGCAGGGCGGAAAGCCCGAACAGAGCCCGGGTCCCCATCTGCCATCGTGCCGCCGCCCAGCCCTGGACTTTCTCCCTCCTGACTTCGTGGATGTGTGAAACATAAATCCCTATGCCTCTATTTCCTTATCCACAAAAAGGAGCTGACGGTGGTATCCGTCTCGTAGTGCGAAGATTAAGTGAGAGAGTAGATACGTCAGGGGCCCAGCACGGGGCCGAACACATAATAAGCACTTGATAAATGTTGCCTGTTACTGCTGTTCCCAGCAGCACCCTTGTTTTAGTCCCAAGACTGTCATTAGCCTGTACAAAGCTTTTGTGTGCATCAGAAAAAGCCCTCTTCTCCTTTTTTTCATCTATGGGAAATTTGTTATGACGTGCTGATTTCTTTCTCGTAACTTACTGATTTTGTCTGAGCAAGACACTTTCATCCAGACAAGCCTACACCGATATTGCCTAGGATGTGAACTCTTCAGAAGCGATGCCCTCGTGAAGTGCTCAGCCTGCAAAATGGTCCATGGTGGCCCTGCCTGTCCTCGTAAAGTGACATGGAAGGATGGGCTGTGGGGCTCCCCTAGGACACACAGGGTCTGCCTCGAGGAGCAGGGCGGTTGCTAGGGGCGGGGAGGAAGAGATTCCTTCCCCAGGACCGAGGTGGGGGCGGTCCTCACCTCTTTTCAGTCAGGGCAGTGCGGCTGAAGTGTAGGACCAGCTGGTGCAGGGGGTCAGGCTTCTTCTCTTCCACTTCCTCCTCCTCCTCCTCCTGCGCCCCAGCTTTCTAGGGGAGGGGTGGGGCTTGGGAAAGGGGGTTCTAGAGTCCCCACTTGTTTCCCCCCACCACCACACACACACAACCCCGCTGTGGCTGGATTTTCTCTCTTTCCCCACATGCTGCACCCAAGCCAGGGGCTGCCACTCCCCATACCCCTCAAGGTGAAGGGCGACCCCCGGAAATGTGCAGCCAGCAGCCTTGACCCCCAGCCCTATCCAGCCCTGCCCCTATACTCCCAGGCAGGCCCCAGCTCACTGAAAGGTCATCTATCATGCGGTCTTCAAAACTGTGGTCTTCGGTCAGGATCCATGCGGCCTTGTAGCTCTCCAGGAACATGTTACATGCACGGTGTCTGGGGGGGGGGGGGGGGGGGGGGG